GTTTTAGCAGGGATGCACTCCTAATTTGTACCGTCAATGTGGGCCGTTGAGGGGGGCCAATATGCTGAAGTGGTCCTGGGTGAAATTGAGTTTGACACCCCTGGGTTAGAGGGTTGCCGCCGCGACAGGCACCAACAACTTTGCGGCCGCAGCTCCGATAAGCCGCCTCGGCAATGGTGCACTCAGACTCAATGTCCCCCACCTCCCCCAGAATGTGTTCAAAGTTCTGCTGGAGATGGGAGTTAAAGCTCCGTCTCACAGGGGACTCCGCCAGATGTTCCCAGCAAACCCTCACTACACGTTTGGGCCTGCCAGGTCTGACCGGCTTCCTCCCCCACCACCGGACCCAACTCACCACCAGGTAGTGGTCAGTGGACAGCTCCGCACCTCTCTTCACTCGAGTGTCCAAGACATACAGCTGCAGATCCAATGAAACGATGACAAAGTCGATCATTGAACTGCAGCCTAGGGTGTCCTGGTGCTAAGTGCACATATGGAGACCCTTATGCCTGAATATGGTGTTCTTTATGGACAATCCGTGATGAGCACAGAAGTCCAACAACAGAACACCGCTCGAGTTCTGATCGGGGGGCCGTTCCTCCCAACTACGCCCCTCCATGTCTCACTATCATTCCCCACGTGAGCGTTGAAGTCCCCCAATAGAACAAGGGAGTCCCCAGGAGGAGCACTCTCCAATACCCCTCAGTAATCAATTGTCTTAACGTTGTTTATTAAGATGAGCCACAGTGTGAGAAAGAAAAACCTGCTTTCTTTTTGTGCAAACTTTGTGGTGGACCTAAATATGTGCTTTCCTGTACAGCTCAGAGACCTCATGGTAAAACATGATGGTGCCCTGCGACACAGAATACCCGGCCTTCGTCTCCAAACGCAGCATTAAGGAGACGACAGGCAGCATTGACTGCGGTGGTTGTGTCAGGTACCGACTGAGGCTCACAACAAGAAGCTCGTCACTAAATCGTCAAATAATTTCAACTTTTCACTGTAACAATTTTAATTCTAGTTTGTGTGTTGGATGCAGTTCTTTTGTCATACAGCAGATTCCCAACAGCAACCTGATAGGTATTTTCTCAACCACAGACAGCATATATGAGTTTTCAACCAAACCTCTGCAGAAGGAGACACAGTGAACAGCTTCTCCAAGCTGCTCACCATGTGTTCTGAAGACCTTCAGTTTGTTTGTCTCTTTTATTGAGACGAAGGGTGTGAAAAGGAATGTGGGAGGGGGTGAAAACAACATCCTATCTTCACAGCAGGATGCTAAATTGGAAAGAAAGAAGGGGGACACAGAAACTAAATTAACACACAGACAGGTTTACAGCTCAGGAGTATCACAGGAAGATCTAAGTCACCATCTGTGAAAACATGCTTGAGGTTAAAGAAAGGTTTAATTATATCTTCACAGTTTTAACAAATTTGAACACTAAACCTCTAAGCAGAAAAACAACTAGTAACATAAAATTGCAAATGTAAGAATGATAACAAACATAATAATTCTAACACAACCTGTTCATGGTTGTAGTTGACAACAAGTGTGACTGCAGCACTGGAATGGAATATGGAATAAATATAAGTTATCTTATGTTTGTTTTATGACTTTACTCTTACTTACTTTAATAGGTAATGGAAATTTCCAATATGAGTAGTTTTCTTCTTGTGGTATGCAAAACATATTTTCTGCAGGCTGTACGTGAGGGGACAACCGTAACCTACCCAGAAGATGAACAGAATGTAGCCGTTGCAACAGTAGACAGGAATTCCTGGCCTTGGAGATGACAACGTTAAGAGATGCTGCAGTCACTCAGGCACGCAGCTGGTTCTCCACCTCCCTTTAGAGCTGCGTGCCACATGTAACTAGGGCATTCCCTAAGACCGAATAAAAGTGCAGGAGACGCAGACAGAACTCCAGAACATTGGTGGAAACTGTAACTGAGTTTCTCTGTGTTCGCCTCGTGAGACAAGAATTAATCACGTCTCCTCTCTTCTTTTGTCTGTGTGTTATAGATGTTTTAGGTTTCTGAACCTGATATTTACCCTTTATCGATCTGCTGCTTTAAACATTGTTAGATGCTGATTGTAGGATTTGTATAAGAGTTAATTATTTGAAGCTTTAAATGTGAGCTTTAATGAACTGTTCAGTCATTTCTATCCTTGACTCCTTTGAACACAACGAGTCATGTGACAGACTAAAGCTGCAGAAGGACAGGAAAAAGCCAGAGTCATGTCATCCGTTCCACCCTGAGGTAGGAGAAACGTTCCTGTTCACAAAGTCGACATGATGAACAGACAAAGCAAAATGTTTACTTGATTCTTATTCGAAGTAATTTGGCAGCAAACAACCCTTAAATTACCATCATTAAATTACCATAATAGTATATATCAATCAATCAATCAATCAATCAATCAATCAATCAAATTTTATTTGTATAGCACATTTCAACAGCAAGGTATTTCAAGGTGCTTTACATAATTAAAGAAGAAATTAAAACAGTATGTGACATTAATAAATAGATGAAAAGTAAAGATAAAAACATTAAAAACATCAGAACCCACACTCTAACCCTAATTTAACCATAAGGTGGGTTTTAAGTTGAAATTTAAAGGCACCCAGTGTTTCAGCTGTTCTACAGTTTTCTGGAAGTTTGTTCCAGATTTGTGGTGCATAGAAGCTGAATGCTGCTTCAAAATAGTCTGTGAAGAACAATTTAGTGCAACCTAAATTGAGCGGTTGCACTCCCAATCTCACCTTTTAAGCAATGACAGATTTCAACTTTGAGAAAGTAAGGCAAATACTCCCAAAACCTAAAGAAATATTTTCCTTCTTTACACATTGTGCTGCTTCCTCTTTGTGCATGTCATCAGGTTTATGTGCAATTATTAAAAAGACAAAAATAAACTGAATTATAACAGTTTCAGCAGAGAAAGGAAAACAAGCAGATATAAAAAGTAAACAAGAAATTACAGTTGAACAAGAAGTACAAGACAGAGGAAAATTTAACTTCAATTAATTTAGCATAAATGCATAAATTGTAATCTAACCTCAGAAAATAAAAATATGCAAGCTTGGAGGATGAAATGTCATCTCTAAATTATACACTTTAAAAATATGATCTTAGAAGGAAAGGTTTTTCAATTAGTTTGTTCTCTTATTTACAATAATAGATAGAAAAAAAATATTTCAGCTAATCATCGTAGAACATCTAGTTTGGACCAGCAGGCTAATCAGGGATGGTGGAGTAAGTGTGGTAAAGGTCGTCAGGCTGCAAGCAGAAAATAAAAGCATCAACCACCGTTTGAGGATGAACTGCATGGCAGATAATCTGCTGAGTCAGACTTACACCATCAGCTTTGGTCTCTTGCATGATTTGCACTTCCAGATCTGTAACAAAAAGAAATATTTTTAAGGAAGTAGTTTTTTTTTTAGATATTGACTATTTGCAAAAGAAAAATATTGCATTTGATTTAATTATTCTTTAGCAAAATCCAATAAAGTAAAAACGATAATCACCCTCCACATTGGCTCCCCTGGTTATGTAGGATGTTTAAAAAGTCTTAAAAATCTTTTTGCACAAATCTTATTTGTAATGTGATTACAAATATTATAACCCAATACAGCCATCTGTACACCCATGTGGGATTTTTTTGTACTATTAAGATTTCAGACATATTTACCAGAAGTGCCAATAAGTATTGAGGTGATGCATAAAAACATGCTTTAACATCCCACTTTAGTAAAAACAAAAGTAAAAAGCATCTTACCATCACAAGAGGAATCAGCTATGTTGGTAATCATGTAAGGTTCAAGATTACATGAAGGTACCTTTTTATTAATTGAAAGAAAATAGAATCGTTAATAATAAATATATGAAGAGGAAACTGTACACAGATAAAGTATCTGGTTCTACATTAATGGAAATGAAAATTATGGCATTCTAGCATACAGGTTAACACAGTTAGGTGAAATATTTTAAATTACAGATGAGAAAAATACTATATACTGCTATAAGCTGTAAGTTTTTCAACAATTTTAGCTCTTGTGGATGTTAAATAAAAATTTAAACAATACTTTAAAAATAAATCTAGATTAAATCAAACAAAAAAATGGAAATGTCATTTTTTTTCATCAAAAGGTAAGAAAAAAATACAGTTTCTGTTGGGTATCCATTAGGTGACTCCCACATTTATTCTGATTTAAATTGGCTAAAATCATGTTTAATAGGAGGTTTGATGAATTCATGATTACTCAGCATTTTAAGAAGTTTTTCCATGTTTACACCGAATATATTTAGTTTTTAGAGGGTTTTATTGAGTTGTCTGAGGAAACATTTAAAGCCTGGAAGTCCAGAACAAAATCCAGAAAAGTTTTAGACAGCTGAGTCAAAAACCGAATTATTTGGACACCAGAACAGAGGATATGTTTGGTGTGACCATTTCCTGATACTCTCAGGTATATACATATATTTTCCATTTGGATAATATAACATTATTTAATTACCACTTTTCCGGTTTCTCTTGTGCCCTTCCGGTCACCTACAAAGTGTAAAGCAAAAACAAATATAAAATCTTACTCATTATCTGCAACTGTAACATGTTGAGAGATATAAAATGTTTATTTTTCCCTTTTTCCTATGAAAAGACATTGTTATTTACTTGTTCTTAAATTTGAGCAATGACATGGAACTTGGTGCAGAAACTTTTTTCAACAAGCAGAAGGATGAGACATTTTCTGTAGTTGGTCACCAGATTTACATGTTTCACAGAAAATCTCTGAATTTGCTTGGTAACTCAATCTCAGCTCCAATCAAACATTTTCTCTAAGACTCAGGCTACTTTATATGATTCTTCATAAATTAATCTTTTGTAGTTGCAGCAGTATGTCTTGAGTTAAAGACAAGTCCATGACTCGCCTTCAGAAATCTGGATAATTATCCAAGATTCAGTGACACACATAGGAAGATAAATTCTTTACATAAAAAGTTAAGGTCAGAAGTATCTGTAATTAATTTACTGATTTGTTACTTATCATCTGTAGGATGTAAAATTCTGGCTAAGAATTAGGGGACGACATACCTTTTGCATCAGCGGCACCCAAATATAGTTTTGCATTTTATTTAATACATAATTTCTGTATTTTTGGTTGATATTGTGTCTCTATATGAAAATTAGCTTAACATAAAAACTGAAAATGGTGTATTGCTTATATCCAAGCAAACCTATAGATACGATATAAAAGAAATATCTTCTCACCTGCTCTCTGGCGGATCACAAATGTTAAAAACAGAAAAATGATGCCGAGGACTGATCCAAAACCAGTCAAAGCCACAAACAGTATTTTCAGAATCCGCAAATCTGTTGAAGATATACAAGGTCAAAATAAGTCAAACTAGACAAAATACGTGCAGCATGTATGTATTTCCTATGAGTTGTTGCTAAGCACTAAGTGCTAGCAGCATAACATCCAATTTTAATGGGTTTTTTTTATCATTTTCGGGGACCAATAAGCATTCTTGAATTGACTGGCATGATGCTTTGAGTACGACAGACTTTCTCCTCCCGGATCTGGTGGGCGGTTCAAAGAGAACCGATTAATCGTAACAATAATCGATAGAGTACTCGATTACTAGAATATTCTTTTACAGCAGCCTTAGTTATGATGTTTATGCAAAAGATAACATATAAATAAAAAGGGAAGAAATTTGACTGTCTTAAAACTGAATCCAAAGTCAGTTTACTGAAAAGGTAAACTTAAGTTTCAGTTTATGTTCTGAAGTTTATGTAAACACATACTTACCAGGAAATGGTGCGGATGAGACTTTATCTACAGTAAAGCCGTCAGTCGGATTATTGTTTGATTCTAAAAGGAGATAAAAAATATTCACATGAATGAGGATAATATTTACTTTTATTATATTTCTAGTTTTAATGCAATACAGCAATTAAAAAAATTAAATGTATCATTGTTCATAAGAGCATGAAAGGAGAGGAGAGCTCAAAGTGGAACTAGAACGACACCTGTTCTGCTTGTGGGTCCAGTTGAAGTTCTGCTTGTGGGTCCAGTTGAAGTTCTGCTTGTGGGTCCAGTTGAAGTTCTGCTTGTGGGTCCAGTTGAAGTTTGGCTGGGAATGAACGTTGTTAAATCATTTTTCTTCTCTGCTTCATCTGAAACAAATAATTGCAGCAGAATGTATTTTTGTAGTATCATCATGTTGGGATTCAATAATCCACAGATGGTCACTTACCTTGAATGAGGATGGATGATGGATTCCCATATTCAGAAAGCACCTGTCCGGGTTCAGCTCTGTACCGACAGTTCACTTTAAGATTAGCAGGAAGCCTTCGACTTTCCATGTTTATCATTTGTAGCAGTTCAGCTCCTCTTAGCGTCTGATGACAGGAAATGTTTCTCTCAAGTCCTTTTGACTCAAACAGAATGAATAAATAACACATAGAGACAGAAACAGATGAAGGAGCCGCGCAGGTCAGTGTGACTGTGTCCGTTTCTGTGATCACTGCTGGATTCACGGTAAATTCAGGTCCAGGAACAGCTGCAAAATAAAAAAACAAACTTACTTTTGTGTGCTGTCAAGCTGAAATAAGACGGGCAACATCTCTAAAATGTCTCTAAACTCTGGCATCCATCTTGGTTCACATCACTGCAGTCAAATGTTTGGGTTGAACTTGGTGATGTGAGGCTTGGATGCAGCTGTGACTTTGCTATGATCTAAGTAACAATGAACTCAGATTATACAAATAACACAACTGGGCTTGTTACACAGCTGGCTTCCTATCATGGCAGCAGAAGCAGTCTGCAGGGGCTGGAGCTTTTACGGCCATAAAAATGGTCTAGTGGCTTAATGTAATAGCTTTCAACTAAAAACCTAGAGGTTGGAGTCCTTGTCAAACGGTGTTTTTTACTAAAGACACAGAGGGTTTGAGTCCCAGTTAAACAACGTTTAACTCAAGTCCTAAAAGGGATGCGGGTTTTAAAGTTTTTATCTTTGTTAATCTTTTCCAAAATCTCCTTCTCTTTCTCACTGT